AATTTCTTAATGGCCTTGTCCTTGGGCACGCATCGGGCACAGTTAGTGCAGCGAATAGGCTGCACATGGCCGCGGCCCTTTTTGGCACGACCGTTGTTCCTTCTTTTCTTTGTCTGCATCAGGACGGAAAACCTGTTAGGAAGGCGGCGCAACTTACCCAGCCTCAGCCCCTTTCCGGCCACAGGCCGCACCGGGAGCCTACAGGAAGGCGCCGCTCGGATCTCCTGTTTCTCCGCAAATCCCGCCAAGCCTCAGAGCAAATGTACACTGTCCACCCCTCAGCTGTGTTCCAGGCTCTCAAATCCCCACAATCCCAGGGTCTGCACCCGAACCCCCATCCTCACCACGCGACAGGACTCACCATTTTGGACGTACGGACCGAAGAAAGGAGGCGGTTCTTGGCAGAGCCCTCTTATATAGCATGAGATCCCTACGCGCACACCGGGAGAATCCTTAGGAGACGGGCGTCAAGAATAGCAACTCACTTTACTCAAATATTCCCTTATGTTCAGCATTTCTGCTGAAATCTAGGGTGAAAATGCGTTCCTAGTGTTTATTTATCTGTGGAACAATGTGCACATGGGACTATTTAGCCGGCTGGCGGAAGAAAATCGAGGTTATGTGTCTCCCAGCAAGCCTCGCGCCGCGCCGCACCGGACGCAATGCTGGACGACGCAGTTTTCCGGTTTACGCGACGGTAGGCGTGGAAGTTGCGCGATGCCGGACCACAAGGCGCACTCCTTATTAGAGGCCAGAGAGGGAGAGATGCTTGGTGGGAATTGTAGTGCGAAGCCAAGAGGCGCCTCTGGCCCCAAGTCCTTAGACCGAAGGCGGCGCTGCGCCACCGGGGGACGCCCTGGGCTCATTTCTCTGACAGCCCTGCTACTAGGTAGGTGTAGGATTACGAAGAGGAAGGCCTGAGAGGAAACAAGCATTTTGTGAATCCCTCCTTCCAATATGGAGAAAACCCCACAATGAAGTGCATTGAGGCTGGGGCTATTTCTCTTTCATTTTTTAATCTCTGGACCCTGTTGGCACAGTGCCTGGCACTGTGGTAAGCGCCTTTATAAATATTAACTCATTTAACTTTGAGCAAGCCTGTAGGCAGGTACTATTATTATCCTCACTTTAAAAGTTGAAGAATTTAGCCGGGCGTGGTGGTGGGCACCTGTAATTCCAGGTACTCAGGAGGCTGAGACAGGAGAATCGAACCTGGGAGGCGGAGGTTCCAGTGAGCCTCTGCACTCCAGCCTGTGTAACAAGATCGAAACTCTGTCTCAAAAATAAATAAATCAATTTTTAAAAAAAGATTGAAGAATTGAGGTGCAGTAGGTATTCTGGCTCCGCTGTACTATGCTGTATGTCACCTAACAAGTGGGTGGAGGAAATAGCCTGGACTAATGACTTAAACGTTTTTCAACACGAATACATTTTACACTGGTACCCGCTACACACAAACATGATTACATGCACATGCAGAACTGAAACACAAGCTTCATGAAACGATACTTACCCTTGTCATAGGTGTGCTGGTATGTTCTATTCTCTATTTTATATTTTTCTGTTCTCTATTTTATTTTAATAAATGCTGATCAAAAACCATGAAAGTTATTTCACCACTGATTAGTGAGTCTGACGCCTAAGTGAAAGATTCTTGTGTATAAACTCCATTTACCTCTGGAGAGCCATCAGAAAGACTTAAGCCTTAGGCTGGGTGCAGTGGCTTACGCCTGTAATCCCAACACTTTGGGAGGCCAAGGCGGGCAGATCACCTGAGGTCAGGAGTTTGAGACCAGCCTGGCCAACATGGTGAAATCCCATCTGTACTAAAAATACAAAAATTAGGCCTGGTGGCACACACCTGTAATCCCAGCTACTCGGGAGACTGAGACAAGAGAATTGCTTGCACCTGGGAGGCGGAAGTTGCAGTGAGCCGAGATTGGGCTACTGTGCTACTGCCTGGGCAACAGAGCAGAACTCTGTCTCAAAAAAAAAGAAAAAAAGAAAGCTTCAGCCTTGAGCAGGAATGGCTGTCCACAGACAGCCAACCACCCAGTTGTCTCCAAAGCTGAAGACACTAGGGTGGCAAGGGGGCCTCCTAGCATTGAGACCCAAGATGGTACAGATGGAAACCATTGTTCGTTCATGACTCACTCTAGAGTCTGAACACACCAGATTTACCTTCCCTCCAGCAACCCATCAGGCATCATGGTTTCTTTTAACCTTTAACCCACTTTTTGGTGCTAAAATCTGTTTTCTTACTTTCTTTTTCCTTTTTTTTTTTTTTTTTGAGACAGACTCTTGCTCTGTTACCCAGGCTGGAGTGCAGTGGCGCCATCTCAGCTCACAGCAACCTCTGCCTCCTGGGTTCAAGCGATTCTCCTGCCTCAGCCTCCCAAATAGGTGGGACTACAGGTGTGTACCACCATGCCCAGCTAATTTTTATATTTTTAGTAGAGACAGGGTTTCACTATGTTGGCCAGGATGGTCTTGATCTCTTGACCTCATGATCCATCCGCCTCAACCTCCCATAGTGCTGGGATTATACGTGTGAGCCGCTGCACCCGGCCCCAGCTAATTTTTGTATTTTTAGTAGAGACAGGGTTTTGCCATGTTGCCCAGGCTGGTCTCGAACTCTTGAGCTCAGGATATCCACCTGATTCGGCCTCCCAAAGTGCCAGGATTACAGGTGTGAGCCATTGTGCTCAGCCTTTTTTTTTTTTTTTTTTTTGAGATGGAGTCTTGCTCTGTCGCCCAGGCTGGAGTGCAGTGGCTTGATCTCGGCTCACTGCAACTCTGCCTCCTGGGTTCATTCTCCTGCCTCAGCCTCCCAAGTAGCTGGCACTACAGGCATGCACCACCATGCTCGGCTAATGTTTTGTATTTTAGTAGAGATAGGGTTTCACCATGTTGGCCAGATAGTCTTCATCTCCTGACCTCGTGATCTGCCTGCCTTGGCCTCACAGAGTGCTAGGATTACAGGCGTGAGCCACCGTGCCCAGCCCTTTTTTTTCTTTTTTAAGATGGGTCTGGAGGCTGCAGTGGCGTGATCACACTTCAGTGCAAGCTCGACCTCCTGGGCTGAAGTGATCCTGCCGTCTCAGCCTTCCGAGTAGCTGGGACTACAGGCATGTACCACAATGCCTAGCTAATTTTAAAATTTCTTGTAGAGACGGTGTTGCCCAGTGTTGCTGAGGCTGTTCTCAAACTCCTAGGCTCAAGTGATCCTCCCAAGTAGCTGGGATGACAGATGTGCTCCACCACTCCCAGCTTTCCTGTCTGTTTTGACTTTGAATTTGCCAGTTTCAATGGGACATGGAAAATAATAGACTCTAGATAGGAGTGTCTCTAATTTTCACTTCACTGTAATCTCATGGAAAACAGAAGGCAGACATTACTATATGGAATAGCAATGAGGTAGGTGGAAGAGAACAGAAAAAAGTTCAGAGTAAAGGGAACAGAAAATAGTTACTATTTAAGACAGAAACAAATTGATGTTCCTACTTTGGATTTTTCTAGCTTAGGGGTTTCACTGGCTGCATTTCCTGGTGTAAAGGGATGAGCACATGCTTTGGAGTCACACACCCCTGGGTTCAAATTCTGGTTCTGTCACTTACTGGCTGATGAGCCTTGGACAAGGTATTTATTCTCTCTTGGGCTTTTATTTTTTCACGAATAATTGTGATCATCCTTTTGTAGGTGTTTCTACAATTCAATGAGTACTTAGCATTTATGAGATGCTCAAGCAGTGGTAGACCCTATGATTATCATCATTCACATTATTTTACCCTGGGCATAGAATGTGTTTTGTGCACAGTAGGTACTCAACAAATGTTTGATTAATTTCTACTTTGGGTAGACAGGCAAGTCAGACTTTCTCTCCTATCCTGAAGGCACTCCTTCCTGGTAGGAAAATCTCCTCCATTTCTCAGTCTAGGCTGAAAATTCTTCGTTTTTGTTCACCTCCTAAACTGTTCAGTAGTTGGTATAACATACTGCAAGGAGGACCCCTCCCTCTTAGTAGAAAATCAAGGCGAAGGAAGTCTGCAAAAACAACCAGAGGTGTTAAATTACTCATGTTTATTTATAACAGACTTTCAGCCAGTACAGTACAAAACTTACAGTAGTATATCTCCATTACACAAATATTTACTTACAATATATTACATATACAAAATGCTTTGCAATAAGTCTCAAAAGCTAGTTTAACTCCCCTTGAGAAAGGAGAAAAACTCTTTAAAAAAGTGGGGGAGGGGAAATCAGAAGAAGAGAGGAGGAGGTGAAGGGGTAAAGGTCAAAAGAGACACCAAACATAGGCTACAAAGGAAACCCTAAGAGTAAGGGAGAAGAGAGGTGGTATTGCACTTGCTTCTGTGTTTATTTTTTCTTTTTGTTCTTCATAACTTCTGATTAAAAATATATATATTTATATATATATATTATGTACACAAGGAAAGAAGCTGCCAGAAGTATTACAAAATCCTATCTGCAGCTTGGACACTGACACAAAAAAACAAAGGTCTGGAAAAGTGTCTACTTAGAAATTTTTTTGTTTGTGGTATTGATTTTGAATAGCAATATAAAAGGAAACACCTCTTTTCTCCATGTGGGTTTCAGTGTATGTGTATTTTTTTTTTCTTTTTCTTTACTTTTTTTTTATGCAAAAGGAGCTGGGAGAGAGCATGAGGATGTTTGAGGTTCCAGAGCTGGAAGGCTCTGAAAAGTAGGATTTTGTACCTAAGACCCTGGTTAAAGTGCAGTGATGGTCTGGAGAGAGACAGGATGCCCCCTCTCCCCTCCTTAGCACCTGGTCTTGCCCTTCCAGTCTCTGCTCTCATGGGCACAGAGTATAGCCTCAGAGCATAGTCCTTCATGTTCCGGGAGGTTACAGGTGCCACAGTTGACTGGGGAAGGGGATGAGGGCACCCTAAGGCTCTGATACCCCAGAAGGGACTAGTCCTTATGAAGTGTCACCAAATACACAGCAGACACAGAAGAGGTGGGAGGGGGTAGGTCTAACAGGAAAGGCTCAATAACCAGAATAGTTCAGGAAAAGCCCAGATATTAATCTCAGCTCTGCTGACATTCTAAAACGGAGCTAGCACCCGAGGGTGCCGTTGAGGATTCTTCCTTTCTCTAGAGACCACTCTGCTCTGAGCTAACCTCCCCATTCTCTGCCCTTGGCAGCATCTATTTATTGCTACATTGTCAAGGAGGAACAATCACCCCACAATGCTTCTCCCTGCCAATCTGGTTCTCTTGCGGAAATCTCAGAGTGGGGGAGAAAAAGGAGGACAAAGAGGAGAAAGTTTTTAGGGTCTCCCTTCCCATAAGAAGGTAAGGTAGACTCCTCTCAGAGCCCTTAAGGCCCTAATCTCAGGATCTGTTCCTTAGCCCACCCTTTACCATCCCCCAGAAAATATCCCTGATAGGGAGTGAGAAAAGTAGGAGGTAAAAGAGCCAATAAGGAAAGGACATGTGGAAAGAAAGATGGAAGGGGAAGGAAGGGAAGAGAAAAGGAGAGAGAGAAGGACCAAGAGTTACAACTTGTGAGGTGTTGTGTTTGGTTTTTACTTTTTTTTTTCTTTAAACATAGAAAAACAGCCTTTGGTTTGAATCTCAAGGAAGCAGAGAGTGGGATGGCTGTGGCCTCGGGCAGAAAACTCTTGTAGAAAGAGACCTCCACTTGCAGTGGAGTTGTATCTCCTTCTGCCCCTTCTCACTAATCCTTGGTTACTCAAATAGCCAGGGGTCTCTGCAGTAGCCAGGAGTACCCTCTCCTACCCTGTGTTTGGGAGCTGAGTGTAGAAGAGGGTAGTAAAGGATGACCCCATTTCAGTTGTACCCATCCCAGTCTTGCTGGAACAAGGGTGGAATGGGGTGAAGGGCACATGCCCATGCTCATGCTGGGATAATTTTTGGTTATACTGAAAATTAGAAGAGAGAAAAGAGATACCCGTTTCTCCCTGCCACTGATCCTAAGAACAGGGCCCAGGAGCCCGGGAATGAGAGGGTGAACCCTGCTGGGAGGGAGCAGCAGAAGGCAGCATGACTGAGGGGCTGAGATAACCCCTTGTCATCAGGCAGCAACCCACTAGTTTCTCATAGGATGGGGACTGAAGCAGCCCTTGAGAGCCTAGGAAGGTCACTATAGTGAAGAAGTTTGAGAGGTGGAGGAGAAAGAGAAGAATTTTGACCCACCCCTTTCCCATGCCCTGGTTCCCAATTAGGCACCTGAGGCTCCCAATGTGTCAGAGACAGAGGGTTATAGACCTAGCCTTGGCCCCTGAGAATATAAAATTGGGGCACTCCAAGGAGAGAAAAGCCACCACTGAATAGACCGGTAGGTTGAAGGGACTAGAGCGTGTGGAGGGGTAGTTCAAGGAGAGGGACCAGATCTGTCACATCCTAGAGGGAGATCCTGAATGTAGGCTTTGAGAACTCATATTACTAGGGGAACATCAAGAGGACCCTCAGTCCCACAGTGCCTGGGGAGAATTTCTTCAGCCCCTCCTACTTCCAAGTGAGGAAATAATTCTTCATTCATTCAAGAATAGTGCAAGCTGCCTAAAGTGAGAGGGCACAAGAGGTATGGAGTACCAGGTTGAAGAGTCCCAGAGAGGAGATATAATGCCACAGAGCTAAGGTAGGGCTGGGGGGAGGTAAATCAGCATCAAAACTGAAGAATTAGATAATGTAAAGGGTGAGGACTTAAAGCAGGAAGCTTGAAGTCTCTTAGTACTAAGAGGAGCTTCCTACCCCTGGGGCTGCTGGAAGATCTAAGAGAGAAAAATTGACCTAAAGTGGAAAGGAGCTGTGGACAGGAGGGTGGGGGAGTGGCAAGTGACTGATATAAGTTAAAAAAAAAAAGGCAAAAATAAATCAACTAATTAATAAATAACTCAGTATGCTGGGATGAGAGAAGAGAAAAAGGAAAAACATAAGCAAAAGACCTGTTTCATCACAATGCTTAAATCGGTCAGGATAGAGGAGGAGAACAGGTGAGGAGGGGTCAGGGTCAGGCGTGAGGTCAGGTAGCCAGTAGTGAGGGCTACAAAGCAAAACTCCTTGGGAAATGGTGGGGACAGGGATCGATGCCTGTAGGCAGGGCAGTGGAGTGGTGGACTGAGGGGAGAGGGAGAGGTTGCTAGCCCACCTTATGCTCCCCCCGGACAATGTGGGAAGAGAATTCGTACCGGTCCTGGCTGTGATAACCACAGATGTTGCACTCAAAAGGGTCTCTGAAGCCATGGCAGCCCATGTGGATAGTGAACATGACGTGGTCCAGGAAGAGGATACGGCAGTGCTCACACTTGAAGGCCTTCACAGGCTCACCACTCTCGCCCACCACCCGAAGCACTTCCTTGGAGGGGCCTGGGGTGCCCCGCAATAATCCCTCCTGTGGCTTGGGGTCCTCTTTGGCGTAGGCAGGACTGTGCCGGCCCACCACAATGGTGGGAGGTGGCTGGGGTGGGGGACCCTGAGGGAGGGATACCACCCCTGCAACCCGATCTTCGTGGTTGCTTTCTGTGTCTGTGGAGTCCTGGCAGCCATTGCTGGGGGATGCCCCAGGGTCAGTCAGGGGGCCTCGGGCCCGGTAGAGGAGGGGACCTCCATCAGCCAGGTCCTCAGGTCCCTCACCTGCTTCTCGGGATCCTGGAAGCTCCAGTCGACCAGGGAGGGGCTGCATCTGGGTGTAGACAGAGCTGATGACAGGCGTGAGTTCTGAGATGCAATTGGTAGGTGGAAGGCGGAGGGGACGCAGATGCTCTGCACCCACAAAGGCCAGGGAACTTCCAAAGCCAGGTTCCAGGCTGTGGTGTGCCACCAACTCCACATCCTTTTCGTAGCCACCCGAGTTCACGTCATAGGGGAGGTCTGAGAGGCTGAAGCGCATCTGCTTTTCGCCTGTGGAGAAGAGGAACTCAGCAGGACTGGGTTTGGAGAATTCCTACACTTTCCTCAGGATTCTTTGTTTTCTTACCTGCAGGGCTGTGTGTAACATTATTTACTATGCTGCATTTACTTTCCCAGGGTCAGGTCCTTTGGGGGACTGCTCCCTGACTCTAGGCTGTAATCTTAGAGAAGGACTCAGTCCCAGGCCACTGATTTGTAATACTTCATTTTCTTACTCTCCATAAAGCTCCAGGTCCTTAGAGAGCTAATGACTAGTGCTGGGGATAGGGGGAACCACATACTTATTTCCTCTCTCTGACTCTCTAAGGGCCCACACAGAATGAAGTTCTTGTTATTCTTAAAAACTGAGACAGCCTGGGCTGGG